GGTTGGGACGGGTTTCTGGGGAGATTCAGGTCTGGTTTTGGCATGAGGTGTCCCTGATGTGACGATTTCTCCCTCCCCTAGTTTACCAGGTACTTGTCCTATTTAGTTTTCCATTGAAATGGGTGGATGGTAGTTGGGAATGGAAGCTAAAATAAGAATTTCCAGAGCTGGGCTGGGTTTTTTCCTTGCTGTTGTCAAATAGGTTTGACTGGGGTGATTGATTTTAGGGATGAAGTAATAATTAATTCCCAGGAAATGGGGAAAATGACACATTTTGAGTAGGTCACAGATTAAAGAAAGTAAATAAAGGATCCTCTGTATCTCTAAGTATTGAAGAAAAAGGCTTTCCTACCTGGGATGGTGCCTTGTGGTTGCCCTGTGCTGGCAGAGAGGCTCTCATGGTGTTGCCAGAGCTCCAGGATCTGGATTTTACCTAAAAAAAAAGGTCAGAAAGCAACTGTGTTGGACTTGATGCTGGATCCTGGGAGGAGAAGCTCTTTGGAGTTTTTTTGAGGAGAAACTTGCAGCAGTTGAGCTCACTCCCCTTGGGTGGTGTGGTGCTGGAAACCTTGGTGCTGTTGGGGCTTTTCTGGAAGATCAGTTGTGGTTTGGATTCCTAGATCCTTTGGGAAAGCCCCATAAGTGCCAGGAATGCTGTGAGGAGCATCTTGCCCTGCTCCAGTTCCAGAGTCACTGGGGGAGTGATCGAGGTGCTGCTCTCGAGATGCTGAAGTGGTGAAGCTTGTGGAGGTGAAGCCTCTCAGAAGGAGATCAATGAGTGGAAATGATTGATTTGTGATTCTAGTGACAACCTGAAGGAACTAGAAGAGGGATGTGAGGAGAGGAGCAGCCTGTTGGGAGCAGGGACTGGCAGCTGGGGCCTCCCAGCTCATCGTGGGTCAAGCTGGCCTCTCCGGGTGTCCAGTTGCCTGGAATGCAGTGACTGGATATTCCTGTTACCAATTTAGACCAGAAATGCACACCAGGAGCTGGTTTGATGTGATTCAGACAGGGAGATGTCCCTTCTGCTCCAGCTGGGTGGGTTTTCTGGGGGAGGGGGGGTGTGAAACCATGTACCCCCAGACACGCAGGGAAGGGCAGGAGGTGGGGGCTGTGCTGGGTGCTGACAGTCCTGCCAAGGAATCTGGGGGGGATCAGGATCTCCAGGAGCAGCACTTGGTACAGAAGCAGAACATGCTGTGCCTCCTGCCTCCAGAATTAGTGAGCCAACCTCTCTGGTGGTGGAAGCTCTGCTTAAACCCAGTTCTGCTTTGCTGTGAGTCCCTTGTAGTGAAGATGTGAAGCCCTTGCAAGGAATGGGGCACCAGCTTCCTAAAAACAGGGGTGATCTCAGCTTGAGGTAGGGAAAATCCCTGTGGAGCCTTGGCCTTGAAGAGAGGAATCATGCCTGAGCTTTCTCAGGCTGCACAAATGAGTTGCTCCCTGAGGCAGTTTTGTTTGCTGATCCTGGATTTGTGCAGCAAAGCTGGAAACTGAGGCTGAAGTGTTGCTTTGTGTGGTCAGGTTGGATGAGGCAGCCTGGGCTGGTGGGAGGTTTCCCTGCCCATGCAAGGGGGTGGAATTAAAGGACCTTTAAGGTCCCTTCCAACTCAAACCATTCTGTGAGAAGTGATTTGGAGTAAAGGTGCAATGGGTTTGCCATGTAAAAGAGCTTTTCATAGAATTCTGGGATGGTTTGGGTTGGAAGGGACCTTCAAGATCATCCAGATCCAACCCCCTGCATGGGCAGGGACACCTCTCACCAGCCCAGGCTGCTCCAAGCC